CCCCAAAACCCCAAAACCCCAAAACCCCAAAACCCCAGTGGTTATAAATGGGATTGAGCGTTAATAATTATTAAAAATATTAATGAATCAAGCTTCTAGAAACCCGCCTAAAAGAAAAGAGAAACACTTTTGGTCATTGAGAGATGCCCAGGCTGAATATTGGACCAGTTTGGCTCAAAAATCACAGGAAACCTCCCAAGATTCCTCCTTGATGAAGGAAAAGGAGTTTAATAACCTTCACGAAGAAAGCGTTGAATCAGAAGATTATGAAAATGTATGTAAACCTGATTGTAGTAACCAAAAGGGTAAACTTAATCATACTTCCTTACAAGGAGAAGAACTCATCAGATCAACTTTGTTAGAGCCTAATGCTCAAGAATCTCCTTCCAAACAATTGACAGATGATAAGAATCTGCCAGCTAATTGAAGAAAATTTAATTTATGCAAGGCCAGAAACGAAGGAAGACTCATGAAAAATATAACTAAACCTACTTCCAAACTATCTGGGAAGGAGGTTCATGCCTCTAAAATAGTTGAAGATAAGCCGGAGGATCAAGGTAACAGAGATAATAGGACTTGTTGAAATTATCACGAAAATAATGTTAATCGTGAATCAGCCGTTAACAAAAGTGCTAACATTGATTGTTCCGACTACAAGTATCAAGAAGTATGTAAACCTAACAAATATTTGGCTAAAGAGATGAAACAGCTACCTTCAGAAGCTGCTGCAAGAAATAACCATCAAGAAGACTATGATAGTATACACTCTTCACCTAGATATGAAGGTAGTATTATTCATTTGAAAAATTCTTTTTGTTCGAAGAGACAAATCTTAAATAAAAAGGAGTGTAAACCAACGAGTAAGAGCCTTCTAAACCAGACTGGTCAGGAAGAGCCTTCCAAAGAAGCTTTAGAGCTCCAGAGGCAGAACAAGTTTATTGAAAATCTCAAGAAATCTCTATTTGAATTTGAAAACTCAGATATCAGGGAGAATAACTTTCAGCCTTCTGAATATTCTGGTGACTCATCCATTTGTGAAATGAATCCAAAAATTCAAACTCGTAGATGTTTAGAAAAGGATGAAAATCATAGTGACGAATCCTCAGCTGAAATTTATGAACAATCCAATAAGCTTCAAAATTTGGAGAGTTTGTATATTAAAAATCATAAAAGAAGCTTATCTGAATGTGATCAATCTCGAAATTATCCAAATCAGGTTACTTTTGTAGCAAATAAGGCATCACCATCTGAGAAGTCCTTCTCTCGTGGCAAATACTTTAAGAAAGTTGATATTGGTAAGCAAGCTACACTACCCAACTCTTCTTTCCAAAGCAACACCACAGAGGACTGTAGTCTTGTTGATATTGTCAAGAGCTTAGCTGATATTGAATCTAAAATGGACAAAAAGAAGAGTAATTCCAAACTCTCAAGAGGGATTAAACCCAAACTAAAGAGAACTTGCTGCTTAATCTCCAAGTTCAAGCCACTAGCACACTCAAAATCTCGGTTTGCTCAGCCATAAATGTATCACAACTCTTCACCTTCCTTATACTGGTGATTTCTTACTTATATATTATTTAACCAACATTTCTTGGCTTATGGGGTTTTGGGGTTTTGGGGTTTTGGGGTTTTGGGG